CTCGTAACTTCGGAGGATCTGGACCTTCACCATGGGGCAATTTTAAGCAAGGTCGTTTCCTACTGGACGGGGATGCTGAGCCCACGTCTCACCCACCTCCTTTACACGGCCTTGGGGACAGTAGTAGCCCTAGAAGAACTACAGGCACAGTTTCAAGTGCCACTACACTGAAAACTAAACTCTTCTATGCGAAGATCCTTCAAATTTCAGGTCAGAGTATCGATTGTTCAAGTGAATTTTCTGGTAAGCAATTTTTTAGCGAGATTTCTTCTTGCAAAGTGAAGTTGCTAAGCCCACGACCGATCATCTTACGCGTAAACTTGAAGTCTACAGCAACTTTAGAAGGGTAGATAATTAAGTACTCACATCTACATTTGCAATCACTACCTCAAGGCCCAAGTAGCTAACTTGATTGTAATCTAAAGAGACAGTAAGTGACTTGCCACATCCTTCACTACAAAGAATACTAGGCTTCCATTTCCCTGGGAAAACGCGGTAAGCCCCACCCCCCTATAATACAGGCATCGAAACACTCAGAACTAGTAAAGCCGACTAAAAAGAGGAACTTCACTGTATTTATTAGATGCATCTTAAAACCTTAATCAAAACCATAACGTGGAAAGAAAGAAACTTATCGTTTCATGTTAGTAAGTCATATATATTAGGAATGGATGAGTAACAATGACAACATACATGATGTTTCTTAAAGTTCACTGCTCAAAAATCAGTGAAAAAAGTATCAGGATATTGTAAATTCTTTTTCACTCTCACTACGTATACTTTATTTGTAGGAGTTTTTCTGTACCGGAATTTCGTTCGCAAGGTGACGGCGCGCTGTTGAGAATATCCGTTTTTGAAACTGTTTAGTATTTCTGTGGGATGTCCCATAAATATCAAGGGAAAAACGGCTTTCCGCTGTTAAAAAATACTTCGACACCATATCGCGTTAAATGTGAATCCATATCACTTCCAGATTGGATGCAGGATACTGGTTATGGTACTTGTTCTTCGACTTTTCTTAGTCTCGGCCTCACCACGGAGAAAGATATTTTCCCTGAAAGTGTAGGAGTTCAAGAATTTACCGTTACTAGAAATTCGTGAGTTCTTCATTTTTGTTCGCTCATTGTTCAGTTTACGGGGTAAGCGGCGTGTTGATATACTGTCTGCCCTGATGTCTTTTGAAAAGTCGGAATATATACTCCTGAAAATTCTCCGTTACCTGACTATTTCTGACCGTCTTACAATACTTAGTGTTTGTAAGTCATGGTATTTGTTGAAATTGCGCTTTCCACGGCTGTTCACCGCTAGTAGAAAGCATGAGATGACACTAAAGGTACGTTGCACATAATTTATAAACCTGTGTTTAGGAGAACTTGGCCAAGGGTTCACGGAGATCAACAACCAACCGTAAACCGTTAAGTGCTATCAACTGCTTCAACTTCTGTACAATTAAGAATAGGGTTGATAAGTTTGATACTAAGGTAAGAAAGGTTGCTTTGTTAACATGCAAATTCGCTATATATAGTGTAAACTTTTGATAAGTCAATCAGTTTAGAAAACATTTATGTCTAGACACCCTCAACAAGTTCATTAAGTCACTGTTTACCATAGATTTTTATCTTCAATAAAGCTAGCAGAGGGTATTTCCTTATTTTAATTGTGCATTATAAGTAGATCTCGCAAAATTTGCTTGGTATATTTGGGCAATCAGAAGCTGATATCTCTTGGTAACACTAGGGTCCAAGAGTCGCGTAAAAACATTCAAGTTTGATTGGCAGAAAGCCAAAGTTATACATGCTAACTGTACATTTCATTCCAAGTCTACCACTATGGGGTAGTTGGTATCAAATTGTTGATTCCAAGCCAATAGTGATGGTAAGCCCTTAGACAATAATGGTTGTAGTGTTCTCCAAAGAGGTTCATTTATTAATAAGAAAGTGTAACTTGTGACTTAAACCAATTCCTCCTTGAGTTAGACTTGTGAACCGAATATCTACATTCACGCACTCTTATTTTATGAATAGAAGTATGCTAGTTGATCTAGGTTGTTACTATACCGGGTTTCGTCGCAAGCTCTACCGATAACTAATTACATAGAGTTTATTATTGCTTGATCATTAGGCTTCGCTATTTTCACTTTGTACGCTTGTTCTTCGTTTAAAAATGCCTAGTTGTCACAGGTTAGCGACTAATGATATCTATACTCCTAATTTAATTTGAAATATTTGTTTCGGGGTAGTAGACTGATATAATATGTCAAATGTTTTCTAAGAAAGTTAATTTACGAGCCAGGATACATTCCTAGGAACCAACGCAGCCGAAATCAACCAAGTTGTCATTTTAAGTCATTGGCGTTGCTATTGACAAAAACCATTCCTAAACGAACGCCATGACTGTTCTTACTTTCTGGTGACGTGTTTTTTTATTTTCTGCTTACGACATTGTTCATCAAACCTCTTATTTTTTATCGCGTAAAGGAGTTTTTGCATCCATGCCCCGTATGCTCTGGAGTGGCGTTTTATAGACCTAATGAATGGCCGAATCGTTTGCATTGTCAGGCTTTGGATTGTGGTATCTCTGTTTGCTATAATTGTCAACGGGAACACTCGCCCAGTGATAAATGTCAAATGACACCAAAGTCACTAGTATGCAGGTATGGTTCTTCGTATTTTACGCCTGATTTTCTCCAGGAACTATTTTAAGTCGTTTGTATTTAGAGGTCACTTTGGTACAATATCAAGTGCCTATGTAGCTAAATGGCTACTTATTATTCTTTAAGTTAGCGTGCAAGGGTGCCGTGACGTTACATTTTGAAGATGTTTCTTAAACTGGATCTCGATATCACTTAAATATGTACGGACAGAAATAGTGTTTACGTTTAAGTAAAAATAGTCATAGATCCCAGATTTGATGTTCGAAATATATATATTAGTATTGGGTAGAAAACGTGTCCAAGTGTACTCAGGTATGTAATTAATAAGAAGCAAGTTTCGATTCAAGATCTGAGTTCATGAGAAACTTGCATATGCTCACGTCCTACTCACAGAAAAATTACACGATGGAGACTTATTTATTTATTTAAACACATAAATATTGGTACAATGAAGCACCAGATAAATATGCGCCTCACAAATCTCATTCGATTTGTGTGAGGGCTGTGATACTGCCCAGGTGCCCAGACTGAAGCAGGTGGGGACATGTAACAATTAAAACACTAGCCTGTTTGTTTACTATGGTCTTTATGTTGAATTAGCAAAAACTCAGCGTGACTTAAATCCCAGAGGCAATGTAACGTAAACTTGGAAATTTTACTGTTAGTTCACCAATTAAGCTCCTTACTAACTGACGACATTGTCTCTATAAAACTTAATATGACGTGCATGACCAGATATTTAACATAAGAAAGATATTTGTTATTTATGAATGAAATCTGATTCGGGCATGAAACAACTATATTTTATAACCAAAAGTCCCATATGAACGACCTACACGCCCCTTTTTCAACCACTAAGCCTATGATTCATCAATTAGTAAGTATTTCAACCCTCTAACCAACAAATATGGCTCAAGACCAGTTGAAAGAATATGCGACTAACTTTTTAATAACAGTTAGTCTAGACACGATTAGGTTTAATACGCTACTACCGTTTATTCCATTTAAAACTTTCCCCCAAGACTACGCAAGAATTTTTTTCCTGCAAAGTCTGAGTTAACATGATACAAAAATCAATTTCCCACATTAGAGATTCACTAACCTTGAATAAATTTTTAGCAAGTATCAAAAAGTAAAATACTTCTATGACGAGGCACATAATGAGTGTTCCCAGCGTTCATGATTTGATTTTATTTAAACACATAAATATCGGTACAAACGGGCACCAGATAAGTATGCGCCTCACAAATCTCATTTGATTTGTGTGAGGGCTGTGATACTGCCCAGGTGCCCAGACTGAAGCAGGTGGTTTTCTTAGGGGGCCACACCCCGAGCCTTTGAACTAAAGGTCTGATACACAAGGCAGTGGAGCATCGTGAGGAGATGCAGTTCCATGGTAGCCGGTGACCAACAATAGGTTCATACGCCATTCGTTCCATCAGGATCCTGGAGCCCATGTGCACCATTGGTTTGGAATCAGGGTTTTCCAACTCCCCTAGGTGGACCCTCCGTGTCCACCAACCCGGTTAAAGCGCCGGACATTCACTCTTCGTCCTCTCACTTTCGTGAACAACACCCCCGCCACGAGAAGGCAGTGAGTAGTACTTCCCTGGTAGAGGCTATATATTCGCGTGGCCTTGTAAGAGCATTTCGAGAGGGAGAGCGAACTCTCCCCACTCTCGGTCGTACCAGGGCATTTGGGGGCCCAGCGTTCATTAACTAATCATAAACTTTTAAACCTGAGCTTTGTCATATGAATCCTGGCCTAACAAGTTAAAATGACCGATTTCAAAACTTAATTGTTTCTCACAATGTTTAACTATCAAAAATTCAGACAATACTTTATCTTGTTTAGATTGTCTCCTATCCAACCTCGGGCATCCCCAACTCGCAGTCCAAGAACCCGAGCCCGGTTAATGAAGGCTTCTCTTCGTCGCTTGTAATCGCTTGTTGATTTTACTGTACCATAGTTCTTTCATATGTACATACTTTTCGTTTTAAACTGTTACTCGTAGTTTCTATCATAATATATACTTGTTTTTCGCTAATTGCTCTAAAAGTGTGAAGCTCACGATGGTATTTAAGTACGTGCTTAAAAAGTATGTGGTTAGGCAATCGTCAACCAGATAAACTTATACATTCTAGTCATTGTTTTGCCACCTACGCTATCTATAAAATAGCTCATTGAGTATGTATTAAAAAAATGCAACTATAGGCTTAAGAAGAATATTGTATTTGTATGATACAATCTGCAATATTACCAATTATCACAGGAAATAGCTGCTTGCAAAACAGCTCCAGCTACTCATTTCCAGAGTTTTAGCCTCGTTAGGATTAGTTTGCTGAACTAGGTTTCCAGAAATTTAGGTTTCTCATCAAATGAACTCGAGGAGTTAGTGACTTTGGAATCAGATAAACTAGATGATATGGTAGAGCAAGACACATCGGCACTTTGTGTCCACAAAACTCTTCTGGTCAAATTGACAGCTTGATCACGTACTTGTACGGCTGCTGTCGACACTGTGCTGGATATGTGGCTTAATGTTCGTGAGTTTGTAGAGGTATCTATACATTTGTTGTTTTTGGAAGAAAGATCAGTGTGTACACCTTCGTTGCATTGAGTTGGTCTTCGTTCTCGTGACTCTTTATGACTTAAACTACAAGAGAATTTTAAATGGGGAAAAACAACTCTATTTACTAAACACAAATTCGAGCAGACCAACAAAAAAGCATAGAATAGTGACATGTAAGTGCAATAATTCTGGAAAAAATCTGCAAGAAAACACACAACCACCGTGTTAAATCACACAAAAATGAATCAAATACTTGCAAACAAACAATGTATTAAAATTATGCATTGCACACATGTAATTAAGAAGCAAACTAAGACTAGCAGATTAAAATGAAGCATTCTGTTGTATATTTACCGTTGTTAGTAATCGTATAGATACAAGTGCAATACCTTAACAGCTCCTCATCATTTAGATCCCACGAGACAAGATCGATGCCTATTTCAACTGGTGGACTACAAACAAATCGAATAGAAACCATTTGTAAATGTATACGAGCAATTCTTTTCAAAATCGATGTGAATCATAAATTTTCTGGACTTACTTTGTGATGGATTAGTGGCTCATTAAGTTTCCAGGAGTTAATTCTGAAGGGGTTGAAAGTAGTGCTCCGGTTCACATAACTGTCTTACTAAGTGGGAGAGTGATGGTTGCACATTGTACATTCCGAAATCTTCCAAAGTATTCTATTATGTAAAACATGTTGATTATCTCTTAGTTATAAGTTAGGAACTAAACACCTAAGTATTAACCAACAGATGGTCATCGGTTAGAAACGTATCTACTCAAATGTTATTGTTAGTTGGGTTATATCACAAGCTACCATGTAGTAGGTATAGTTTGTGATTGAGTCTGTAAATGTGTTGCATTTAATCCCCACATAGCAGTTTTTCAGAAAAGTCGCAGTCTCCAGTAGGGTGGTATTTTCATGTATGTATAGCTCGACAGTCTAATTTAAACTTGTCAATAAATGTACCATAAGTTCTGCGTTAAACACAAAATTCCAGTTGTCATTAGTGGTTTGCCACTGTAGATCCCTTCGATAGTGAGGTAAGTTATATTCATTTAATAAATTTCAAGAAACAATAGAATCACAACTAAGCATAGTAATATTTTGTATATGTATTATAAATCACTGAAAACTTACGCGTTCATGCGTGCATAATCCAACTGCAGTTTAGCAAATAAGCTCGACTTTAAGAGCTCATTAATCCGGTTAAAATGTATTGTAGCCTTTGAGATACTTTTAACGTTACTAAATACATATATGATGGCAGAAAACAGAACTAAATAATAATTTATAGAAAAATTTAAGCTTTTAGTATTAACTGTAAGCGATATACACTTTTAAATCTCTATTTACATCACACAAATATAATAAAAACCACCTAAACTATTTAAAGTTGGATCAGACTTTATTTGCCGTTCACAGTTGAGATCTAAACAAATACAACAGAAACTTGTTCGACATTTGTCTACTTGTGATCACTATGGAGTAAAGAGAGCACACAGTACAAATTGATTCATACTGCATTGGTAAACATGTGTAGGGTACAAGTACCAATAATAAGTCCCATTATAGCATTGATAGTGTGGTAGGACCAGGACGTAAGTATTGCTAAGGTCAGGCATCATAGTTTGGGTAGGAAGAGGACGTTAGTCAACGAGGTTTTAAACTATAATGTAGTAAATAATCGGGAAGACTAAGATAGATGTATTACCATCTACAGAATTAAATTACTAGGTTAGAGGTTTTACTTTTAAGAGCTGCCAATTATTTATCTCCTCTTACCACACTGACACAACATTTAACACCTATAAACGATGCATATATGTATCACTTAATAACTTGTAATTTCTGAGTTGCTCCGGATAATTACGAAGACAGTTTGAACATTTACCACAGGCTTTTAAACTATTATTCTAACATTTCGATTGATAGTCGTTTAAAGTAAGTATTTAGGGATACATGACTTACTCGAGTGCATAATCAAGATCGTAACAAGAACCACGTAATTGTGAATCTAAATGTTCGATTTTCAACTATATATAAAGAACATTAAAAAAACATAAGAAATTGCCAACTTGATATTTCAAGATTTCCGGAATCGATTTTCTAATATGTTCTTGAATATGAAAATAGGCCAGTGAAGGTTCATTTGCAAGTGAAATAAGTAGATCAGAAGTGGTTGCAGTCACTAAATCAGCATAGAGTTATGAATTTGAAGTAATTAACTACCTTTCTGACTTAAAGATTCGTTCATTACATTCGTTTTATTTGATGATTGATCTTTTTCTAAGGATGTCACTTAATTTGAGAATATTGAAAAGTACCTTTCTTATTTGACAAGAAGTTTACACTTTTTTCCATCAGTTCATGAATAAATATAATTTATTGGTGACAAAATCTTTTCCATGATTACTTGTAAGTGAATGCCAATCGGTATACAACAACGATTTAATATACTGTGAATCAAAAAATAAAACGCAAAAAACCATGAATTTATGTAAACCCGGGCCATCTCAAGTAAATCTAAACTACAAAATTTGTTAATATTTGTCAATTTGCGTCAACAGTAGCGTAGGCGAAATATCTTTCTGCCAATTAAGGGATAGGTATACTGCACAGCAGCTCACCTCCTTGTTTCACAGTTGTGAAACATGATCTCTAAAAACATGTTCGTAGGTTACTGATATTTGAACATTAGTATCTTTGAACCATTTCTCGCATATTTTGGGACCGTTAGTTTGAGATGAAAAGGATCAACAGCAACTGAAAAAGATTGCCCAGGATAGAGTTGGGTGGAGAATGCTGGTGAGTGCCATATGCTCATCTATGAGGGATGACAGGCGTAAGTAAGTAATTTGAGATTAGATCCAGAGTACAAGGTTATGATGATAAATCGATTAACGAGGTAGTGAATCTTCAGTGACTGCGACAGTTAAGACAAAAATTACGTCTACCGACTACCTATCTTGTAACTTTTATTCCACTACCCCTTTTTTCGGATCATATTCTCGATCCCTAATTTTTTTATTGCCAATAATATTATTATTTCTACTGCTCTGAGAATTTCTCTGATAATTTCAACTCAATGTGCTAATAGAGTATGGAAACTTGAAATGATGTACATGTGTCCAAATTTCTGTGCTACATACGACTCACTAATAAACATTACAAATGAGCCGATGACAAGAATTCATTGTAATTGCTAAGATAAAAAGTTCGACGTTTAAAAAAGAATAAAACAGTGCAAATAATAGAGTAAAGTAGTAAACAGGTTGAGAAATAAAATCAAAGTACAAAACTAAGACAAATTGTTTACGACTTATTTAGAAATAGAAGAATGGATGGATTTGCGTAATTCATAAATCCCTACCTTACTATGTAGTATACAAATATCGATTTTCTACAGCACCTTCACCATAACATTACTTTCTCCAGTATTTAACAAGATGAATGAATCCATTGCACACATAGTTACACCGCTGATAATTTTATTGCTGGTTAACATTTATTTGGTTGAATTGTCTATTACATATATTACTCAATACACTTTAATTAAAATTAGTAATTACATTAAATCATTTACCAGGTACTTGAGTGCGAAACACATTTTAGGTCTGAGGGCCAATGATACTATTGGTTGCCAAAACCGAAGTAGGTGTAACGAGGTTTATCACTCGATCCAGGTTGAGACTAAGGAATATTATAATAATTGCCGCCAACTGTATAGTAGAAGTACCAGTACTATTGGCTGCAATAGTCGCAGATCTTACTGAAGCTTCGGCTGTTCAGTGGTATGAGCATTGCAGGGACATATCCATAATAAAAATGAAAAAACTTACACAACCAGAGTACACACAAACAATAATGAACCTATGTGGTCGAGGCTGAGAGGGTTTTTATGACCTTATCATGGCTCCAGAGACCAATTGGTTAATAGTTAACTATTATGGAGCCATATGGATGAGTACATCCACCCTATGCATTACGGTTTTGGAATCTTTTTTTAATCTTCACAAGTTTTTAGACCATATAAAAGAAGTGCATCCGCTTTAATTATTTGGTTTAGCGTAATATATTCTTACTCTATGCTTACTGCTCACTGATTGGCTAACATTTCTCAAGGTCACTTAAGATTCATTCAAGGGTTGTCTGTAAATTATGGTCTCTCCAATTGGTTTAAATACATTTAAGATAACTACAAAAAGCCATCTAAAATTCCTAATGGTTACGTAAGAGAGCTATTAGACAGTTGATAAAACAGGCCAGCAGTTAATATATAGGCGTATATAAGATTAGGATGTTGAGGGTAGTGTTTCGAGAGGTATACGTATCAGCACATACAACTATCTCACGTCAATAAATTGTCATTAACACGATAATTGTAGCCATAAAGTAATTCGTATTTGCAAATCGCACTCATTTGACTGATTATGAGATAAACTACGTCAACGTTTTCAATACGAGTTTAAATGCTCTCTAACGTATAGAAACGAAACACTAGGACGCAACCGAACATATTCTTACCAAAATTGGAGCATCTTTTACCTTATCCGCCATGTAAGCTCAATGTTTCAGTCGGGTTGAAGTTGTCATACCTGCTAGTCAAGGTCTGTCTTCAGTAGTAAGGATATGTTTATTGGCCTATATTAACCCTTGCAGTTTGTGAAGGTCCTGTTTTGTTTTGAATATATTAACAGAAGGTGCTGATATTACGTGTCCTTGTAAAGAATTTCAGTAATTCACTGCTGGGTGCGAGAAGAGGAACTTCAGATGTGAAAGATTTGATCTTTTTCTTTCTAACTTTCTTATGAATTTTCCTCAAATGATCAATTCTAGACGGGAGGAAAAGGTAAGACATATTATTACCAAGGTCATCATTCAGTATACTATAAGCTACTATTAGATCACCCTGTAATCTGCGTTAATGTAACGGAAATGGCTGAGGTATCTCAGTCTATCTTCATAAGATAGGCTAGAGGGACCATTTATCATTTCGGTCGACCGTCGTTAGATTCGTTCTGGTGTATCCATTTCATACTTGAAACAAGGGCTCGCTGATTGGATCCCATATTTGAAAAGCGGTTTCACAAAAGTCGAATATAATATCCTAAACATTTCTTCGTCCAAGTACATAGATGACCTACGAATAGCCCATATAACCTTAAGGCCTCTGACAGAGGCAGCCTTGCAGTTGCTCGTAGTTTTTAAGTAGCTGCTTATTATGAATCCTAGATCTTTATAATCCGTTGCTTTAGGCTACACAACTCCATTTGTTGTATGATAATATGAATTGTCGTAGTTATTTCATTACATCACAACACTCTTGTTAGAATTTACTTCAAATGACCTCCTGCTCATCTATGCAACCAATGATTTGAGATCATCTTGTAATACTATCCTACCTGACATAGTGCATATGGATCTCCAAATCTTTATGTCATCGGCGGGGGGTAGAACGGATGACTTTGATACAGTTGGTAGTTCATTTACATAAAGTTAAAGGAGAAGAAGACCAAGGATTATATATTGGGGAACTCCACTTTCTACAGATCTCTACGCTGAGAAAGCTTCACCTACCCTTATCCTCTATGTCCTCTCATTGAGAAAGTCACTTATTCAGTCCATGATTTCATAATGAATTCCAAAACTTTTGAGATTTAGTTTGAGATCCGGAGGAGAGACTTTGCAGTGGTATTGGTCCCAACCACACAATCCTCAGAGCTGAACATGAGATAACTAGGAAAATTTATGTTCAACAATAAAATAAGGTCAACAATCGAGAAGGCGTGAAGAATTATTTTAATGAGTCAGATGGAACGGCTCAGCCTCGCAGACGTGTCATTCTGTTTAACTTGTCTCTACATCAAATATATTATTCTAACTTGAGCCCAAATATGTTCTTCAATAGCTTATTCTTATGGCATGATGAGTCAGAATAGAGGGTAATGTGATTTCCATCTAAGATCTTATCGACTAGGCAGTCACATCATGACAAATATACACCTTTTAGGATTAGGTCTTTTATGATAGTACTAATGGCGAAGTAGATCATAATTCTACAACCTTTTTAAAGGCCTTGCTTAAATATGTGAGAATCGCATCCACAGGAATAATTCTATCCTTTGCTGCTCAATGGTCCTTTAGAGCTGGCAGATTTATAAAACATGTTAGGCTTTTCTGAAAACCATGTTGTTCCCTAGATAAAAGATTATGCCCCTCCAAATAGTTTAAAAAAGCCATCCAAATAATCTTTTCCATTGGTTTGACGACTACACTGGTAAGGATAATGGATCAATAGTTACTAACTAATTCTATGCTCCTTGTCTTATACAGCGAACTGATTATTGCATTCTTCTAGTTTATTGGCAGTCCGGACTGCCGCAGAGACATATCAACCAGTATGGCCATAAGTTCAGCAATTACATCCGACAGGGTTGTTATAATTCTAGGATGAATATCGTCAGGACCACTGAGTCTATCAGGTTTCAGAATTTGAAGTAGTCCCAGGACAGTTCCTTTCTCAACAACTACGAAGTCCACAAATGGGTTTTCATATGATTGTTTAGCTTTACTTATCAACGCTTTACAAGCATTCCTAATCTTACAATAACTGGATCTTAACTCTTCTAAGCCTATGGAGATAGACATATTCCTATACTTTTCCCTGCATCTAAGAAGTGGCTTGGCTTGTTTTTTCATTCATAGTGGACAGTTATTCAATCCAAGTGGTACCAAGCGTGGTATAGACAGGGACGCAACTAAACCAAACTTGCCTTTAATTATATACCATGCTTCTTCAACTGATGAGCTAGTATCTATTGTCAAATCTGTCATTGTGATGCACTCCTGAATGGCGGATATGTTGGTTTTCTATAAATTTGGACAAGGCCTAACCTCATCGTTCTTCGAGCACACGAAAACGACAGTTAGTACGAAACCTTACTGCTCGTTCTCTTGGGTATCAGAACGACCTTAAAGGCAGATATTCAATGTTCCGCGGCTGAACTTGTATACGGCACGAAATTGCGTCTGCCTGGGGAATTTTCACACCACGGAACAGTAATAATTTCGGCGAATCAGACTACGTCCAACGACTGTCTGCATTTATGCGAACTCTGTCTCCGGTGTAAACTCGTACACAACATCGACGATTCGCTCTCACTCGAGAGTTATCTACCTGTTCATACGTTTTCATACGAGTAGATTCGGTACGCAAACCTTTGCAACAGCCTTACGAAGGACCTTTTCACATGATCTCCGATCACGAAAAGACCTTCGAGGTTGATCAATATGGCCGAATCAAGATGGTCAGCATTGATCGTCTCAAGCCAGAACACGTCAATGACAGTGCCCTCCCTGGT